TCCTTTTCTTCCCTTGAGCTCCACGGCAGGGGAGCAATGCAGTGGTCTAGATTTTAACACCCATTTGAAAAATGAATAAACCAAGGCTTATGAAAGTGAAATGATATGTTTGAGCTCACCATATCAGTAAATGCCCCTTCTGGCCTTCCTGCTTCCTTATAAAAAGTTTGCGTTTGCTAGCTGTGCCGTTGAAGATGGTTCCAGAGTTTGCTATGACTAGGGAGAAGAGACCTTAGGGTTCAAATTTGCTATGTGGACAATTGACAGTATACAAGGATCATAACCATCTCTAAATTCCAGTTGATTCCAGGAAATGGCTCTGTACATGGTCTGTGAAGTCTGCATTTTAGGTTTTGCTGTTTTTGTGATGAATACATCCATTTTCATGATTGCCAGTATTAGGCAATATGGAAGGATGAGAACACTGAGGTCACTTGGAAGGCATGGTTTAATCACGGCGAAGGTTCACACTCAAGGGAGGGAGAAGAGAGGGAGCAAGTAACACCCACATCAGCCAGGAATCCCTCAGAACAAATGATTACATTTTAATTACTGGTCTGGGACATTGTCCCTCAAGAATCTAAAATTCAGCCTAACGTCCTAAAATGAGAAAACTCAGGTGACTTAGGGATTTTACTGTGTATTCATTCATTAGCTCTCTTTTTAATCTATAAAAGGGCTGAGTTGTATTATAGCAGTATCTCATTTGTGGTTATAGGAGAAGATTTATTTTATCTCTGTGAAATTACATTTTTTTTTGCATGTGGATATCATGTCTATTTTGTCTTTTATGGGCTTTTTTTGTATGACTGTGTGGTAAAGACAGGTATGAAACAGATTATTTCTACACATCAATGATGTTAGGGTATTTTTTATCTCTTGTGCCTATGATTACGATTGCTTGTTGAGATATTAAAAAACAACAGTAATAGTAAAATAAAACTATCAGTTATTTAACTAAAGGACATTTTGGAAATGGGTCAACTCAAGTGCGAAGAATTATGGCTTTGCTATATATCCTTACAGTGAGACAGGTGTATAATCTCTAGGATCTTCATTTTCTCATATTTAAAATGGATGTAAATATATTGGAGTTGTTGTAAAGATGTGATTTATTACCAGCAAAGTATTTACACATCTTTGCCATGTAATAGAGAATTATAATACGTAGCATTTAATTTCTTTTGGTGATTTTTTTTTCTTTCCACAGAGAAAGATTTTTTCTCAGGGCAAGAGGGTGGAAAAGTGATTTTATTGTCTCTACTAACCATCAGAATTGATTAACTTTTATTACGTTTTGCAACATGGCATTCTTGCTGATGTTAGGAGTTGGCTCTCTTAGAGCATGGCCTTCCAGGAGCCCCCGCTATCATATCTTCCTCTTTCTCTCCATGTGCTGTTAAAACCAGATCCCAATCTTTTGCTCAAGAGAATTTGTGAAACTAATTCACAGTAAGTGGTACATTATCATCTACGGTGCAATTTAAAAAAATTTTTTATTTAAGTATAGTCAGTTTATAATATTGTGTCAATTTCTGGTGTATAGCACAATGCTTCAGTCATACATGAACATACATATATTCATTTTCATATTCTTTTTCACCATAAGTTATTACAAGATATTGACTATAGTTCCCTGTGTTATTAAGTATAAAATTGTTGTTTATCTTTTATATATATATTAGTTAGCATCTGCAAATCTCGAACTCCTAATTTATCTTTTCCCACCCTCTTCCCATCTGGTAAATGTAAGTTTGTTTTCTACGTCTATGAGTCTGTTTCTGTTTTGTAAATAAGTTCGTTTTTTTTTTCTTAGATTCCACATATAAATGATATTATATGATATTTTTCTTTCTCTTTCTGGCTTACTTCACTCAGAATGACAATTTCCAGATCCATCCATGTTGCTGCAAATGACATTATTTTATTTTTTCTGGCTGAGTAGTATTCCATTGTATAACTATACTACAGCTTCTTTATCCAGTCATCTGTTGATGGACATTCAGGTTGTTTCCATGTCTTGGCTATTACAAACAGTGCTTCTATGAACATTGGCAATTTATAAACACTGTAAGTGGCATTTGTATTCAAATGATCATCCCTTTTCTAGCATATTTTCATAACTCAGAGGTGGATTCATTAGAAAAATATTTAGGGTCTTCCTAGTAGTCCTTCCAAATATTCTTCCTTAATAAGGGAGGGAGCAGAATCATCCCTGTGCTGTCTTTACTCTTACTCCTTAAACTTCTTAGTCCTTATGTTGATTTTTTTAACAATAAGTTTCATTGATTGATGAGCTGATAACCAATGAAATCACAAACTTTGGCAATACTAAACACACGTAGGGATTGTATGGGTTTGCGTAGGCTCTGAACACCTCTACAGTGATACATCAAGTACTTCTGATGTGGTTGTGTCTAATATTCCTCTACTCTTAGAGCACAAGTATATTTCTAGCAAACTAAGTGATATGGCATTTATGTAATATTGTTAGCTATACTATTTTCACTATGTGTCAGATTCTATGGTAAATTACTAGATGTACTTTCTAGTGTAATCCTCAAGATAATTCTGTGGATTAAGTATTAGTATAGTTCCCATTTCACATGGGAGAAAATGAGGCTTAGGGAAGTTTGGAAACCTACATAACTGACCCAGCAGAGAAATGGTGGAGTCAGAATCATATTCTGATTGTCCACGTCCACAGTGCTTACTATGTAGTAAGGAATGGAAAAAACATAAATGAGTTACAGGATCCCTAGAAACCCAAAGTCAATTGGCAAAATAGACTAATACATTTTTATTCACATACACACCCCCTAACAGTACAACAATGGAGTATGTTCAAATGATGGAAGTGGTTCAGCGGAGGGGACTCTGATTAACTCTGGGTGAGTTAAATGAGGGAGAGTTTCAAAGAGGATGTCATGCATGCCTAGTATTTAAAATATTAAATAGGAGTTTTCCAGACAGACAAGAAGGCGTTTGGCAACAGTGGCTTTCATCTTGTGAAGTGAAATGGAGGGTGTACAGTTTACTCAGTGATGCCTGTTTGATTGAGATGATTATATAGAATCTACTGTTAATTATAAAACATCCAGGGCTTCTGCAAACCCATATTTAATTTGGTGGGTTTGCTTTGTACCATGGGCATTATATTTATTTACAAAAATGTCTTTATTTCTCTTGTCTTTATGAGGGAGACGCGGTTCTGTGTGTTCTTACAGAAACAAAAACAGATTTATATCCTGAAAAACTGACAATTGAATAGAGTCAAGCTGGCTTTGAGGAGTTGCAGCTGTAAAGTGACTAAAAATGCTCTTTGAGGAAACTGTGCATTTAGAGGAACCATGAGACTATCTTTTTGATTGAGTCGTCAAACTACAGAGTGTTTAAATGTTGAACTAATGTATTTATGTTCCTTCATGGGAACAAATTCTACGTAAGCATGCATGCCTCTGGAACCAAGACTTTTTATTTTTGTCCTGGTTTTTACTACTCTAGATATAAATATAGATATATTATATACACGTTTATTGTGGGTGCTTATATATATATACAGAAATTTTTCAAGTGATTTTTGGACAAGTTGTTTACTGTCTTAAAGACTTAGCCTCTCCATCGTTGGCCTGGGGTGGGGATGAGAAGTGCCAATAATTCCTGTTCTGCACACATAACTAAGATCCCCTAATGAAGGGGATCTTTATTTTTAGGTTATTGGGCTTCACATGTGTTACTTCCTTTACCTCGTCTATCAGCTCTGTGTATGAGGATGTCACTCTTGCCCCCTTCCTGCAGATAAAGAAAGTTAAGCACAGACTGGCCGTGTGACTTGTGCAAGGAGAGCCTCCTGGCTGGCTCGTGGTGGAACCAGGCGTGTGATTTCGGCTCTCCGGTGGCAGAGTCTGCGTGCTTCCCCGCTAGTCCCGCGATCTGTTGTGTGCCTTCTTGTCAACTGAGAAACTCACTGTGGATGTCCTTTGCTCTCATCATAACCACCCCTAAGCGTTACCGAAACAGTTTTTATTTTCAGCAGGATTTTGTAACCATTGTTTGGAGGGCCTGGAAGGGAGTTCTGTAACCACCCTTCCTTCCTACTCTTGATGTAAACAGGACTGTGACTTAACTCCTCTCTCCTCCTTCCAGGCCCATCCCTCCTTTACTCCTGGATTTCATATTTTAGATCACGTAGTTTACCAGTTCATGCTTTATATGATTCGAAAATCCCTGTTTAAGTCAAAAGACAAGGAAGCTCTCTAAAATATATGCAAATTAATAGTATTTGAAAAATGATGCTTTGCATGAAGTAGTCTTTTTCATGACCAGCAACTACTTGGTTCTTCAAATGTCTTCTTCGTAAGATCCCCTGTTCCTTCAGGAATCAGAATGCTTCCTTCATCTCAGCTTCCCACTGGACTGTGAGGTTTTATGAGAGTATCAAAATGTCTGTTGTGTTTAACAGAACAGGCTCAGCATATGGTACATACTAGATTACCAAAAACATAGTTTATAAAAGGAAGAAAGAAAGGAAAAAGAATGGACAAGTGAATGGATGAATGATTGGCAGCTTCTTTTTGCTCTTACAACTGTGCCTGCCTCCAGGACTCTTCCTCACCCCATGTCCTTCTAACTTCCTGCTTTATCTGCTGAAAGCCAGTTAACCAAACACGTTAACTCTGTGCCTAAACTAGGAAAGCAGGCACAGGGCGGGGGCTAAGGAGTGCTCAGTGACTAGACCTGGTAACTTTAACTTGTCTTGATCTTTTTTAATAATCTTTTCTTTCTGAAATGGTTTTTATCAGAGAAGTGAATTTTGGCTAAGGGTAGCAATATTGTGTGTTACTAGGGCTATTAATAGTAGTTGCTATTTGTGGGTTGTTTCCTACGTGTAAGCATGGTCTTAAATTCTTTATACACACTATTCAATTTAATCCTCAGAAAATTGGTTCGATCATTATCCTTATTGTAAATATAATAAAACCATCGAAGACCCCCATTGCATGGAAGTGGTGAAGCTGGGAGAATCGGCGGTTAGTGTGAGCCGCCGCGGGTTTTGTTGTTGGTGTGCACAGTCTCTGTTCTCAGGGTTGCAGGATGTCTAAACACTAGAAAGTAGAAAGTTGCAGCTGGGTGATACAGGAGCGCAAGCCACTGTTCTGGCCTCTATTTTTAGGTCCATGGGCAGCACATCAAACAGTGTCTTTTTTTGGCTTTTAGTTGAGTTGTTCTTTGTTGGTTGTAGAACAAAGACATAATCAAATCTTTCTGAAGAGGTGAGCGTGAGCAAGGCTTTGAAGAAGGCATACGATTTGGAAAGATTATGAGCAGCCAAGAGGGCCTCCCCTTAGAGTAAAGGCAAGAATATCTGTTTAACTTAATCACTATTTGAGTTTGAATATTGTTTTGGAATATCCTCTTCAACAGCAGAGGGAAAGCTTTCTGCTTATAGTACAACTCAGATACTCAAGATATAATCTCCTTGCTGTCCTATTTTTATCTTGAATTTTCAACATTGTGACGTATAGGGCATTTGATTTTTTTTTCTTTAGGTGAGTGAATGATTCTATGAGAGGGAGGTGACCAAGAAATGAATATGATAAAAACAAACTTCACTGTGACTGAATTTGTGTT